GGTTCGGGATGAATTTAGGGTGGTTTTGGTGGTTTTTGGGGTGTTTTTGGGGTGTCTTGGGGGTTTTTAGGTGTTTTTAAGGTATTTTGGGGAGTTTAGAGTGTTTTTGGGGTGTTTAGGGTTTTTTTGGGGTGTTTTGGGGAGTTTAGGGTGTTTTTGGGGTGTTCACATTGTTTTTGGGGTGTTTAGGATGTTTTTGGGCAGTTTTTGAGATATTTTGAGGTGTTTATGTTGTTTTTGGGGTGTTTTGGGGCTGTTTAGGGTGGCTTTGGGATGTTTTGAGGTGTTTAGGGTGTTTTTGGGGTGGTTTTGGTGTTTTTGGGGTGTTTTGGTTATTTTGGGGGCGTTTAGGGTGTTTTTGGCATGTTTTTTGGTGTGTTTTGGGGTGTTTTTGGGGTGTTTTGGTGTGTTTTTGGGTGTTTAGGGTGTTTTTGGGGTGTTTTTGGTGTGTTTTGGGGTGTTTTTGTGGTTTTTGGGGTGTTTTTGGGTGTTTAGGGTGTTTTTGGGGTGTTTTTGGTGTGTTTTGGGGTGTTTTTGTGGTTTTTGGGGTGTTTTTGGGTGTTTAGGGTGTTTTTGGGGTGTTTTTGGTGTGTTTTGGGGTGTTTTTGTGGTTTTTGGGGTGTTTTTGGGTGTTTAGGGTGTTTTTGGGGTGTTTTTGGTGTGTTTTGGGGTGTTTTTGTGGTTTTTGGGGTGTTTTTGGGTGTTTAGGGTGTTTTTGGGGTGTTTTTGGTGTGTTTTGGGGTGTTTTTGTGGTTTTTGGGGTGTTTTTGGGTGTTTAGGGTGTTTTTGGGGTGTTTTTGGGGTGTTTCGGGTGTTTTTGGGGTGTTTTGGGGTGGTTTTGGGGTGGTTTTGGGTGTTTTGTGGTGTTTTTGGGTGTTTTTGGGTGTTTTTGGGTGTTTTTGGGGTGTTTTTGGGTGTTTTTGGTGTTTTTGGGGTGTTTTTGGGGTGCCCGTACCTGCTCCAGGTGCGGAAGGCGTTGCTCGCTCTCTTGTACAGGTAACCCTCCATGGGCGGGGCCTCAGGCCCCGCCTCCCCCGCGGCCACGCCCACCTCATCCTGTGAGAGGTCCTGGCAGCCGCCAATCATCACAGGCCCTGCCCACAACCCCACCCAGCCAAACCACCCCCCAATGGAGCTGTCAATCAATTTGGCTCCACCTCTAGCTGTCAATCAACTCGAGCACCGCTGTCAATCAGTCTGGCCACGCCCCTCACCACCAATTAGTCTAGAGGGCTCAAGCCCCGCCCCTCTGTGAGCTGCCAATCAAACTGACCCCACCCCAAGCTGTCAATCAACTCCAGCACAGCTGTCAATCAAATCTGAGCCCCGCCCAAGCTCATGTTAATCATCCATGTTTGACACCTGTCAATCACAGCTGGCCACGCCCCATCATCCAACCCAGCTGCCAAACAACAGTGACCACACCCCTGCCGTGCTGCCAATCACTCAGAACCCCGCCCACCATATGCAATGCCCACACAAACCACGCCCACCAAAGCCACGCCCATCCCCTCCCAAACCAGCACCAGATCCTTCGCTTTCAGCCACGCCCCCAAATTTCGCCACGCCCCTTGGCAGCTGGCCCCGCCCCCGAGCTGGCCCCGCCCCCGAGCTGGC